ACTCTGAGGAAATCGGGGCTGGACTGTATACATGACATCCAAGATTCAAGAAACAAATAGGTCTCAACCACACACACTCATTCATCACAAAGAAATTAAAATTAGCATCTCCAACAGTTTAATTAAAAATATGCTTTATATAGAAAGTAAGCTATCTATAAATACTAGGGAACTATGCCTCATTCCGTTTAAATATGAAAATAATAGCTACTTTGACACGTATCTGACCCTTTATCCAAGTTTGAGAATTATTATGGTTGATGATAGTAATTCCAAACAGAGGAGCCAGGTTTCTGTTTCAGGAAGGCTACTGTGGTGGCTGCATGGAGGCAGGGAGTCTGATTAGGAGGAAGGCTCTGACAAGGACTCAGGAGACGATGAGGGACTGAACTAGGACAGGGGTGATAGGGAAGGGGAGGAGGAAACATCCATGCCCTATGGGAAAATTGGCTGATTGATTAGTATCCAAAGTCGGTCCTGGGGAGAGAAAGAGCATCAGCCAGGATAATTTTTAAATTTCTAGCTGAGATGATGGGGAGATATCAACTGGATAAAAAATCCAGGAGGAGGAAAGGCTGAGTAAAGGATGGTAAATGATTTCCATAAAAAAAGGGGTGATGGTAAACTATGAAGGTGGATCCACGTAGGGTGTAAAGAAGGAGAAATAGGCTGGCAGAATCCTGGGGAAAACCAGCATTAAAGGGCAGTGGAGGAAGAGAAGTCCATGAAGGACACTGAGAAGAAACAAGCTAAAAGACAGGAAGAGAATTTAGAGAGTCCGGTGCCATGGACTCAAAGGATGGAGCGTTTAGGGAAAATGGAAGAATGAACATTAAATAGTGCAGAGGGGTCTGCTAAGATAAATTTTAAATGTTTCTTGAATTAGCTTATTAGCAGATCCTTTTGTTGTTTTTCAAACTTTTTATGATGGAAAATGTCAAACATAAGCAGAGAATAGAACAACGGGCCCTTATTTACCCGGGAGAGTAAGTTCATTTTGTTGGAGACCCGTGCCTCAGCCGTGCTGTAGCTCTCAGCGATCTGTCGGAGTGAAAGTACCACTTCATGTACCTCTTATCCCAGTGATTCTCCAATGATCAACTCCTGGCCCATTTTGTTTCTTTTATACCCCTGCTGTCCTCCCCCCCACCCCAGTTATTTGATGCATATTTCTGACATTATATCACTTTATCAATGTTTATCAGTATGTTCTCTAAAACATAAGGATTCTTCTTTAAAACAAAATCATGGTACCACTGTCACATCTGAAAAAAATGAACAATTCTTAATGTCATCAAGCATCTAGTTATTCACATTTCCTCCATTGTTTTATATTTAATTTTTTTAATTGATGTTAGAAGAAGGGAGAGGAGGCGAGAGAGAGATAGAAACATCAATGATAAGTATCATCGATCGGCTGCCTCCTGCACATCCCCTACTGGGGATCGAGCCTGAAACCCCAGGCATGTGCCCCTGACTGGAATTGAACCTGGGACCCTTAAGTCTGCAGGCCGACACTCTCCACTGAGCCAAACCAGCTAGAGCTATATTTAGTTTTAAAAAATTGTTTATGTGAATCAAGATATGAGTAAGGACCATACTTTGCAGCTAATATGTCTCTTGAATTTTTAAAAAACTTTGTCTATTCTCCATCTTTCCCCCCTTATTATTTATTTTTTAAGAAACCAGGTAATTTCTGCCGAACCGGTTTGGCTCAGTGGATAGAGCGTTGGCCTGCGGACTCAAGGGTCCCGGGTTCGATTCTGGTCAAGGGCATGTACCCTGGTTGCGGGCACATCCCCAGTGGGGGGCGTGCAGGAGGCAGCTGATGGATGTTTCTCTCTCATCAATGTTTCTAACTCTCTATCCCTCTCCCTTCTTCTCTGTAAGAAATCAATAAAATAAAATAAAATAAAAAAAAAGAAACCAGGTAATTTATCCTGTAAAGTTTCTCAAAGTCTGAATTTTGCTGAGCTTCTACTGGCGTAATTTAGTATGTTCCTCAGCTCTGTATTTATGGTAAATTGTTAGTTAGAGGCTTAATCAGATTTAGATTTGATTGTTTTGGTAAAACTAATTCATAGGTGGTTTTAGTGCATTTACCAGGAGGCATACAGTGGTGGTCTTTTTGTGATATTAGTAATTAATGATGATTGTTGTCTAGACTAGCATTGCTCAAACTTGGCACTGTTGACATTATGGGCTGGATAGTTCTTTATCGTAGGAAGTTGTTCTATGCATTGTAGGATGTTTAGTAGCATCTCTGGCCTCTACCCACTGAATGCCAGTAGCAACTCCCCCAATTGTGATAACCAAAAATGCTTCTAGACAATTGTTAAATTTCCCTTAGTGGGCTAAATGTCCTTGATTGAGAACCACTGGTCTAGGTTCATTAATATAGGATTTAGAACATAATATTTTCATTCGAGCCTTCCTTCTTTGTTAGGCAGAATAAATACCTCTACAAAGAGAAACTTTTACACATTAACTGTTTGTTCCCTAGAGCTACATTTCATATAGGAAAGCAAGAAAAATGTTGATTTGTTTCCCTTTTATCAGCTTTTAAAGTAATGAGTTGGTTACTTAGCATTTTCCAAAGGAACCAGTGATTTTTTTTTAGTACTATTATGACTCATACTTTAACACATATATGATGTGTCTCAATCATTGGCAGTTTTTAAACATTTTGATGCTTAAGTTGACCTATTTGGCCAGTGGAAACTTATTCAAGTTGGCGCCTGAGAGTCCTTTTGCTATGACCTTTAAGGTTTCTTGTTCCTTGATATGATACAATTTTCCAGGCTCATTTTGTACATTCCTAGACTAGAGCTGGTATCAGCGATTTTTTTCCAATGATTCATGGTTCCTCTTAATTGGAAATGGTATTTAGAGAACACAGTCTGGGCACTAGGGATGTAGGTTATTTGACCTTAGGAAAAGCAGTTAAATGAATACATAGTCAATTACCTGTTCTCAAAACAGCCCCCTGCACCACCTCTTTTTATAAAAAATTTCAAACATGCAAAAAAGTTGAAGGAATGCACAATGAACAGCTGTACCGTACACTCTCACCTAGACTCAACAATTGTTTATATTTTATTGTGTTTGTTCTCTCTCTTCTTTCTCATGTGGTATGGTATGATAGGGCATCATATCATATACTTTTTAAAAATCCTCACCCAAGAACATGTTTCTACTGATTTTTAGAGAGAAAGAGAGAGAGAGAGAGAGAGAGAGAGAGAGAGAGAGAAACATTGATCAGTTGCCTACTGTACATGCCTCCATCAGGATCGACACTCCAGCCAACTGAGCCACACTGGCCAGGGCTCATATATAATTTTTTATTGTACCATTTGAAAATAAGTTTCAGGCATTGTGACACTTCATTAGCATTATCTGCTAAGATCATTTTCTATGTAACCATAATACCATTATCATATCTTGAATTACTTTCTTCAGTTAGTTTTATTGTCTTCTTAGGTCTCTTTTGCTGTTTCTTCTTCATCTTCCTGATCTCTAAACAGTGGTGTATCCACAGCTCCATCATTGGCCCTCTTCTCTTCTCTCTACACACGTACACGGTAGGTCATTCCATAACTCCAGGGCTCTAAATACTATTTACATTCTCGTGACTACCACTTTTTCTCTCTCGACCCAATCTGTCCGCTGAACTCGAGACTCCTATATTCAATTGCTTCATGGTCTTTGTTACAAAACATTTGCACACATTAATTTGATCCTCACAACAGTGGCAGGGTGACTATAGTATCTGCATTTTGTGATAGAGGGGTTTAGAGATAGTAAATGACTTGCCCAAAGTCACGTGAAGCTTAGCTTTTCTGACTCCTACATAGTACACATGGTGCCACGGTGAAGTGTGACTAGCAGGGAGTGGCAGGCCTATCTGTTGAATGGGCGATGATCCAGATTATGGTAGGTATTCAGTAAGTGTCAAGTTATACTAGTGAAAATTAACGATGTCACCCTGCCTAGAGGTCTCTAGTTTCCTTTCCCCCATCACCTCCCCTCGGGGCTCCCCTCAGAGACCCTCTTTCCAATGAACTCCGTCACCTTTAGTCAAGACTCACAAAGAGCGGAATCCACGTCTCCTCAGGCAGGTGCTCAGACGAGGGCTTAAGAAGGAAGGGTCCTCTAACAGTGTCGCCCTCCCACCTCAGGCCTTCCTCGGGTCCTGGAGTGGCGAGGCTGTACTGCCCCTCTTCCCCGCCCCCATGTGGCAGGACTGCACTTGTTCTGGGGTAGAGACCTGTGAGCCTCTGCTCTCAGGTTCTGCTGGCTGTGGCCCCGGGCCATCATCACACTAGCGCCCCCTCCCCTCTCTCCTCCCTTCGCCCCGCCCCTGCCTCTGGCTCCGCCCCACAGCCCTGGACACAGGGTAAACAGCCCAGAGCCTCTGCTCAAAGGGAAACAAGAGAGAGCCTGTGTTCCCATGGCTATGGCCAGCACCTTCATACCAGGGCTGAACCCTCAGAATCCTCATTATATCCCGGGGGTAAGACTTCTACCCAGAGCACAGCCCTGCGTGCTTCCAGGAAGGGGGGTTTAGGGATATAGAAGTTGTGCACCTAGACCTTGGGGGCCAAGTGGACACACCTGTACAGCAGGCCCAGGGCTGGGATATCTATGGTGTTGGACAGAAAATGAAAAGTAAGCAATAGTAGCTGGGCCGGCCACAAAGCTCTTTGTTGTCTTTTCCATGGTAACAGGGTAGCAGCAGAGGGAAATGCCTGCTCCAAATATACAACCAGCCGAGTCCAGAAAAGATCAGGGCTTCAGAGCTCTCTGCTTCTGTCTCTGGGGAGGGTGGGCAGGGGGAATCTAGAGATGAGTGGGTGAGTCCTGTGCTACAGGTACACTGGACACTGCCCACTGCTTCGGTTCAGCATGGGCCAGACCTATGGGCAGATGACCGGTCAGCTACTCCGGGGAGCTCCTGGCATAGCCTGGCCCCCTGCCCATCGCATACTTCTGCCTCCCATTCGGCCTCCAAGATCTCCCGAGGTTCCTCGTGGAAGCCTGCCTGTCGGGCGTGGGCACAAAAGGCTCAGTTCCAGCATGATCCCTGGGTACACAGGTATGTACACAAACATAAACAGGTGCCCCATCCCTGAATGTGTGTCCCAAGCACTAACAGAGATCTTCTTTGCCCCCTGCCCACCCAGGTTTTATCCCCCAGGCACGGTTCATCTTTGCCAAGAACTGCAGCCAGGTCTGGGCTGAGGCTCTGAATGATTTTACTCAGTGGCACGGGGAACAAGGGAGTCAGGAGCTGTCAAAGCAGGTCAAGGGAGAAGATGTGGAGGAAGACCAAGAATCAGAGCCAAAGCCGAAGCCAGAGCTGGAGGCGCAGCGGGCAGAGCTGGGGCAGGAGGCAGGACAAGTGAGGCTGTGAAGTGGGGGGGAGAGGGGGGGTGCAGTGTGGTGGGAGTGGGGAGCCGTACCTCTGTGTAGGCTGGGGACATGGGCTTGCCTGCCAGCTCCACTCCCTGGGACCTTGTGTCAGAGCACGGGGGCTAAGTTTGATAGCACCATTTTTCTTCTGTCAACTTCCCTCACAAGGCTTCCCCCTATTCCATGGCTGACGGAGATCCTCACAAGTTCTTCATGTCAGGTGAGGGAGGTGGGTAATGACTAAAGGTGTGGGAGGCCCCCAGGAGGTCCTGACCCAGAATCCCCTCCCCAGGTTTCACTGGCTATGTGCCCCGTGCCCGCTTCCTCTTCGGCTCCAGCTTTCCTGTGCTCACCAACCAGGCGCTGCAGGAATTTGGACAGATGTGCTCACAGGGCAAACCCCAGAAGGATCTCAAACATCTCCCCCCACTTTCAAGGACCTACCCTCAGAACCTGGGTCTTTTGCCTAACTATGGGGGCCATGTGCCAGGTGAGGGTGTGTGTGTGTGTGTGTGAGAGACAGGTAGGTGGAGGTGGTTTTGGTAGTTGGAAATAATAGATATGAGGGGACCTCAGGGCATGTAGTTCAGCTTTATCATTGGGCTGGAAAGAAAACTGAGGAACTGAGGGAGCTCACAGTGGGGAATTAGGACCAGATTTTGGAGGACAGCTTGGAGGGTCTAGGCAACTGGCTGAGAAGTAAATGGCTTTTCCGTGCCACTGACTACATGTGACAGACTCTCTTGACCACACAGGATATAAGTTCCAGTTTGGCCGCACATATGGGCATCTCACCCACGATGCTCTGGGCCTCAGCACCATCCAGAAGCAGCTCGTGGCGTAGGTACCTGGACTTCAAGTTCTTTCTTCCCTTTTCATGTATCCCAGCCATGCTTTTGGAAGAGAGAGAGAGATGGGCTGGAGGGTAGGGGGAGGCACAAAGAGAATGGTTTGGAGGCCAAGCACCTTTTTTATTAATAGGTGTAATAAATAAATAAATAAATACATAAACAGAAGCCTGGGCTGCTCCTCCCTCCTCTGACCACCAGGCATTGGCCACAGCCTATTTACATCTGGGAGCTTAGGGATCTGGCCCCTTCACTGTCACCCATCATCCTCACCACCTGGCCTGGGAGCCCTGCAGATGGGCCTTCTGGTCACCTCCATCCACAGGGACATGCTTGTCGGTACCCATGGAAAGGCTGGCCCAGACGGGCCGGGGAAACCCTGGCAGCCCAGTGCTGCGTCCCTTCCCTCCTTTCCTGGGTGGTCTGGACATGGTCATGGGACAGTTGGGGGGGGGGGTGGGTAATTAATACTGAGCACAGGAATACGTGGCCCCAGCTCCCAGTCTGCTCTCTACAGCCAAGCCAGAGGGGCTTGGGGGGGCGCTCTCGGGCTCTGAGTCTGATGGTTATGAGGGTCCCTGAGGCCAACCAGCATGCAGAGGACCTCAGTTTTGGCTGTTTCCAGGAGTTGGACTTGGAGTTGGGGTCAAGGTCACATAGGCCAGAGGCACCAGGCCAGTGTCGGGGCCACGGCTGCAGCGCAGCCAGTCTCCTCCGGCTGGCCCCAGCACTCGGAGGACGTCTCCTTTGTGGAAGCTCAGCTGTCCAGGGCCTGTGGCCAGATGGTGGCACAGTGCTTTCACCTCGCTGGAGAAACAACAAATGGAGGTCAGAGAAACCCCACCCAAAACAAACCCAGTCCCTAGTCCTTCAGGCCCCAGGGCTCACCATGGAGGCTTGGAGGGCAGGGCTGGAGCGTGTGGCTCCTGCTGGCTCTCCTTGGGCTCTGGCTCCCGGCGGGCACCCACTGTCTGCGCCACGAGTTGGAACATGGACTTGTCCAGACTCAGCCAGTCCGAGGGCAGCCTAGGGGTTAGCAGTCAGGGCTTTGAGCCCTGGCTTAGACCAGGCTCCCCACTCCCTCTGTCTACACCACGGGCTGCCTCTCACCTGTTTGTGGGCCGGATCTCTCGCTGAGCCTTTCGTGATCCAAAGAGGTGTCCCCACTTGATGCCCCCAGATGACGGTCCGGAGGCTCCTTCCTCACTTTCTGCTGGGGGGGCAGCAGACCCCTCTCTCTCCCGACTGTGTCTCAGCTCAGCCAGCACAGAATCAGGGGGGCTCCCCATCCAGAAGGGCCAGCCCCTGTCCCGGCCAAGGGTCTCCTCAGGGGCAGGGCAGGCCTCAGCTCCCTCTACTACTCCCTCTCGCGGGGGTGGCCCCCCACCTCCTGCCCCTTTCTTTTTCTCACTGCTGCCGCCACTGCAGCTATTGCTGCCACCACGGGGGAACCTAGAACCTTCAGTGGAGCCGTCAATGTAGACCTGGGAGCTCTGCATGAGCTGGTACCACCAACCAGACTGCCCACTTCGGGCCCTGCCACGCTCCGAGCCCCCAGCTGCCTCTGTCACCTCTTCCGTCTCCTCCTCTTCCTCATCTTCTCCCCCTTCTGGGGCACCCACACCTTTCACCCGTTTCCCATGGGCTGCGCTGTCCATGTCTCCGGGGCCCTCCTGGCTCCGGGCCCGGGCCAACTGCAGCGTTGAGTGGGCGGACAGCAGCAGGTCCTGGGACACGCGCAGCAGTTCCTTGTGCTGCCGCTGCTGCTGCCCACTTTGCAGCAGCCGGTGCTGGAACAGCAAGTCCAGGCTGAAGGGCAGCAGGGCCAGGGGCTGTAGCAGCAGCAGCAGCTCCTCAAAGAGGCCAGGGCACACGGTATGCGCTGCACTCAGGAAGCCCCATGGCTGGTAGTGGGTCTGGATGATATCTAGGGAGAGAGAGAGAGGGACTGAGCCACACAGGAAGGCAGAGCCTGGCCTGGGGTGGCCTTTGAAAGGCAACCTGGGCAGAGCCACTGCTTCGTGCTGCACAGGCTGTAATGTGCTATTTAGAGGCACTAAGTGGAGGCGATTCCTGAAGTGTTGGTGCATTAGCTGCACCTTAAGTGGCAGCCGCGAGTTCAGGCGGCCTGAGTGTCCCGCTGACGGCCAGGCTCTACCACAGCAGAAGCTGGGGAAGGACTCTGGTAGAAGCCCAAGCGTTGCATGGTTCCCCTCTCCACCTCTAGCATCTGAAAAGACAGCTGTGCCTCGCTCTGGAGCCTGTGAGGCCTGGCCTATGATGAGTTTGCAAGACAGGGCAGGGTTCTGGGCATTACCTTCGTGGTTATAGAGGTGATTAAACCAGAACTCCAGGGACCGGATGCTGTAGGGAGATAGGTGAAGAGAGTTGAGTCTTATGTGGGCATCGCCAGATCATAAGGTGCAAAGGAGACAGACACAGGGGTCAGACACAGGGCAGACTATAGGTGAACATCTCTCTTCTATGGCAGGGATGCTACCTGGTTCATTTTATGTCATATAGTTCTGAAAAGTCAGTGAAGATGTGGGGCGGGGGGCGGGGGGGTGAACATGTGTTTCACAAACCAGTCACTTCCTCCTAGAATGGAGTCACTTTGCACAAGACCCAGGAAGTCAGGGCAGCTCCTGAGTTGAGTACAGAGCCGAAGGGGATGACCCGGGCCCATGCTTGAGAAAGAATACTATGACATGGATCCCAAGGTGGACTTAGGGTCAAGCAGGATTTGGAAGCAGTGCTGGCATTGAGAGGATCAGGGTTTACAATATCCAGAGAAACAGAACCAGATTAATTTCCCAAGAAGCCAGACTGTGGATTTGTAAAAGCGGAAGACCATGGTGGTGTCAGTGCCGGAGGATCGTGGGTGTGGTGGGAAACCACTGATCTACTGAGAGGCTGTAGCTAGGTGGAGGGAAGTGAGCCTGCGCTCTGGCAGCAGGTCCCACAGCTCCCCCTTTCTGTCTCAGGTAGGGAGCCTCGACCCGGGGGAGGGCTGGTGGCTGCAGATCTCGCTGCGCCACCACACTCACTTGAGCAGGCCGAGGACGAAGGCGTCGAAGCGCATGGTGTGACTGGTGAGCTCGGGGAACTGGCTGACCTTGTTGTAGAGGCCGTGCAGGACCTTGGTGGATGGGCCTGGGAGGAAGCCAGAGTTGCAGGTCACATGCCCAATCTCTGGAACCCTAAATTCACCCTGGGGTCCCCATCTTGCACACAGCACTTACCTAGTTGTGTAGAAGCCTCAACCACACTCCACGGCATGTTCTTACGTTGCCCGATGATGACATCCAGCACAAAGGCCTTGAGCCCATCCTCCAGCACAGCCCGGACCGCGGGGCACAAGTACTTCAGGACCAGGTGGCCTACATTGGGGCTAACAGAGCTGTTCCCCAGCTTTGCCTGTGGAGGCAGCAGGGAAGTACAGGGGATCACTGCAAGTTCAACCCTGGTCCTCTCGGACCTTCTTAGCCCTTATGGTGCTTCTTTGTGATCCCCATTCCTAAGTATCAACTCTGGGTTCTAGGTGGCAGCACAGGGAAGGTGAGGGTCAGCAGGAAGAGCTCAGCTCTCCACAGTTTCTTGCCTACCTTCACCCCAGGATCCCGGCTTGTGCCAAAATGGGCCACGATGAGGTCCACTGCAGTGTTAACAGCTTTCACCAGCCCTGCAAGCGAGGATTTGATGTAACGGCTCCCCGAAAAGTCCCTGAGCAACTCAGCTGGACTGAACCCTCTGTGGGAGGAGGATGAGCTTCCATACACTCTCTCTCTGTCCCTGCACATGGTCTCATCAAGGTACCAGGCCCAGGCCACCTCCTGTTTTCCCCAGTTCTCCAGCCCCTCCTGTTTTCACGCCCCGACTGGGACCCACTCCAATGATTACATTATTGAGACCCTCAAAGCCCTAACTTCCTTGCCATCTTACTCCAATCCTGGGTCAATCTATCTGTCTTCTCCACTCTGAGACACCAGGCTACTGACTGCTGGGTAAAGTCCAGGGCCACTCACACCGGTGAGCGACAAGGGCACTTCTCTGTGGTGTGCCTTGTGGCACCCTCAGCTGTGCTCCCAAGTTGCCATGCCAAATCTTTACCCCTCTTCTCAAGCCCTTGGTTCTACTTCACACAGAGCAGAGGCCACTGGTCACGAGTTCCTTCAACGTTCCTCTCCATCCAAAAGACGTAACTATATTATTTCTCTCCTCCCCGCTGCTGCCCCTCTCTCTCTCTCCATCTTTTGGAGGAAGGTGGCTGCTCCCCTTCTTGCCCAAGGTTCTTCCCTCTCCCTAAGCTCTGAATCTCCCACTCTGCCTCTGAAAGGGACTTTAGCTTCATCTTTCTCCCCTTTAAGTAATAAGCTCCTTCCCCTTCAGCCCCTCAATTTTTTCTCTCCGTCATCACACTGAAACTGCTCTCTTATGGTCTCTTATTTGCTAAATAGCTTGATTCCTTGTCAGTCCGTGTCTGACTAGATGTTACCATCATGTTTACCCTGACCTCTAGGCCCTGTGGTAACTGAATTCCCCCCATTAGAGCACAGGGACATTTATTTATGACATGCGTCTCCCTCACTAAGCTCCCGGAGAGAAGAGACTGGAGCCTGACTCCAAAGCACCTGATCAATGACCCTTCCTCACGTGTACACACTCAGGGCACATGGTACGTGACTTCTCGCCCCAATGCCTGTGCTCTCTAATTCCTTCCTGGCACCTGGAATTCTAAGGCAGGGGAATATTCTGGAGGGCCAGGCAGCAGGGCAATAGGCACGGACAGGTAGTGACAACAGAACTCCTGGCCTGAGCTGGGGGAGCATCCACCTTTTTTCTGAAGCAGGTCAATGGAAATGGCTTCTGAGTTGCCGTCTGGGGACAGACAAAACTCGGCAGGAGGCTTCTCAGTCAAGGAAAAGGGATCCTGGAAGTCAGGGCAGGTCAGTGATAGCGGCTTCACCATTGGACCTGGAAGAAGAGAAAAATCAGTCCCACGAACTCTCCTTCCAAGCGTCGCAGCTCAGTTCTGTGCCTTATACCCCGAGACTGACCCCTTCTCCAGCCCTTCCCAGCTACGGCAGAGCCTGCCCTGGTGTCCTGGGGACCTGCCCACACACCATTCAGCCGGCAGTTCAGGTGGCCAGCAGCACTGAGGGAGCCAG